TTGTGGGGCCTTTTCAAGTAGAACGTAAGGTCAATGAAGTGGCATATAAACTAGCACTTCCCAAATCCCTTAAAATACACCCCGTTTTCCATGTGTCACTGTTGAAACCCGCAGTACCAGATCCTTTTTTAGATCGCAGATCTAGACCTCCAGAGGCCATAGACATTGATGGGGAAGAGGAATTCGAGGTAGAGGCAATTATTGACTGCAGGAAAAGGGGTGGTCAAACGCAATACCTCATCAAGTGGAAAGGCTATGGGCCAGAGGAGAATTTGTGGGAACCTGCTCAAAATGTCCATGCTCCCAGACTGATGCGGGAATTCCTTTGCAACCAGCCTCAAAGGAGAAATCGGGGGGGCAATGTCAGGGACCCTGGATTTTTCCACAGCGCAGGGGTCTGCGCATGCGCGGTATGCCGGGCCACACTAGCGTGCGAGCATTAGGACCTGGGCACCCGGGACGGCAGCCACACATATGCACTCGCGATCATGGACACGCGCCTGGCACCAATGAGGGCACAGGGCGCCTTTTTTAAACAGGTCAGGTCTATGCTTTAGTTGCCATATGGTCTTACCTGTATTCTGTGTTTCCTGAATTAGGATGCCTTGTTGCCGACCCTGCCTGACCTTGATTTGCTGACTGTCTACTGCTCTGATCCCTGGCTTGTCTGACCATTCTCCTGTCTTATCCTGCACGTTTTGATCTTCTGTTACCTAACCCGGCTTGTGACCCGTTTATCCTTTGGTCTACTGTTTTTGTACCGTTCTGCCTCCACCGCTACCGACCCGGTCTGCCGACTCCGCTCTCTCTACCTCCTTACATCAGGCTCTCACCTGCTATACACCTCCAGTAGTGCTTCTACCACAGCTGGGTGAACCCAGGGGCCGTGACCTGGTTTCGGCCTGCTCCAAGTCCATCCCTGGTGAATGAGCAGGTTGGGGCTTAGATTCTGCGCCTTGGGGAATTCCGGTCTGTGGAACGCTAGAGGCTACCGCCGGCAGGTCCTTAACAGTGAGTTTGTGGAGAAAGTTTTCTTTTGATAAATAATTATAATCACTACATAATTCTAACTAATGTGTTGCAAATATATGCACATATGTATCTTTCAGCTAGGATGCTGGACTTTGTCTTTAACTCCTTTGGGGTCCTGAGGAAGCGAACAAGCGAAACGCGTTGACCTCAGGAGTACTTTGATGTCATGATATACAATGCTGTCATATATTGGGCTGATTAGCCAAAATACTTTTTTTTATGGTAAATTTTTGGAAGATACGTTTCAATAAACATGTTTTATACAATAATATAATGTTGCCCACATTCTGTATCAGTAAAGTCCCATTTGGTTTTTATGGTTCTTTATATAATAATAATGTCGAGGGACAAACGATCATAACTTATTAGCTAACATAGTCCCAATTTTGTAGCCATTCACATAAAACTTCTGACGAGACCATTGCGAAATGGCTTCAGCCTCATGAGTCAAACAAAGATTGAGATCTGTGTAAAGGCGATCTGCCTTCCGTTGGAGCCCAGCCATTGGAGATATCTTAAACAGTATCGTAACCTCTTCAAGCTCATGTTCCAAAGTCAGCCGATGTTGATCCCGTTCCTTACGTCGCCTGGAAGCCAACTGTATGATATGGCCCCTAATAACCGCCTTATACACTTCCCAAAGAGTAACAGGCGAGGAGACTGTACCCAAATTATACTGGAAGCAATCCAAGGAGTGGATCCGAACATCCTCAACTACAGAGGAAAAAGAGAGAAGGGAATCATTAAGATACCAGGAGGGAGCTCATCGACACTGAGAGGGAACTGAACACTGCGTGATGATGGGATCATGGTCGAACCAAGGAACCGTAGGAATCCTTATTGAGAGTAAATGCAGAAGAAAAGAAGGAGTCACAAACACATGATCAATACGAAAATGGCTAGAGTGTGGATTGGAGAAAAAGGTATAATCCCTAGAAGTGGGGTGTAATTCCCGCCATGCATCGACCAGATTATGGGAACGAAGAATATGCCCAAATTCAACAGAGAGGAGGCTGCTGAGCCCACAGGAGATGTATCTAGTTTAGGATTAAGGACTACATTGGAATCGCCTGACAGCATAAGATGGCCTTTCTGCTGGTGTGACGGTCGCGGCGTCAGACCCCCAGCCCTTCTCACCAACTCGTGACTGAAGGACTAGCCAATCTAAAACCACACTGTCACGTGCATAACAATGCCACACTCAGCTGCAACGTGCACAAAGATTTTCCAGCTAATGGACCACAATCTATGTACCGCAGCCTGAGAGCGATTGTTACCGGATCAGGTTAATTACGCAATTAACCCTTCACATTCTTTTTGTACAGAGAAAGAGGAAACTCGCCAATCTTAGCAGTAACACTATGGTGTTTGTATAAGCGTCTGGATACACACTGTCACCGCAGGCAGATGTATCCAGAGGTTTTAAAAACACACAGTAGCGCTCTTCAGAGACAGGGATTCTTAGTTTGCATCAAAGAGCTTTAGAAACAGTTCAACACTTTTCAGAAAATAGGATTTATTACTAAAAAGGATCAAAATGGTGCAATAAAATTATTTACAGAAAAAGATGTAGCCTATATATATATATATATATATATATATATATATATATATATAAAATACAGAGAGCAATACCACAACAGAGAGATAACAGAAAGTTTAGAGAGGTAGAATACTTGCTGTCAGCCTTGGTTTAAGCAGCGTTCAAGTGTCGGGGCAAAAGGGTGCCTTTTCTCCCAAAGTTGGTTTCTGATGTTAAAAAGGGAAAATTCTTCAACTTCTCTCTCTCAGGCCTTACAGCCTATTTTCTAGTCCACCAGCAGGGAGAACCAATCTCCTCATTTGGGGAGGGTGTTTAGGCGGGGAACTCTGCTATGACCAAATCCCTCACACGTTTATACCATGGCCAAAATCTTCCGTAGGTACATGGAGCATCCTATCCACTGGTAGGATAATATGCAGAATCATCTGCTGAACGTCTAGATATCAGATATGACATATCTACGTGTGACGGTTAAAGAGATATCGCTTTCTGCTCTCGGGCAGACTTAATCTAGGGGTGTAAGATATCAGACGACTCGCATTAAACTGAGCTATCCAAATATATGCTTTGTATTCTTGTACGTATTTCTCACGAGAAAGTATGAAAGTGTATAAAAAAGTGGTCTCCACATGAGATATAGGTTTTACTGCTATCACGGAATGCTTTTGAAGTCCAGTGACTGACGTTTTTTGTCAAGGTCCTACCTTTCCTCAGACCTTGTGCTGCTCCATGTGCTGGCATCTATCTTAGGTGTCTGCAAAGCATTGTGGGATCCTTTAGGCTTTCAGCCCTCTGCGACTCCTCCCCCAGGAGGTGGCGGCTTATCACATACAAGTCTGCTGTTTGTGGCTGTCCATTGCATTCGTGTCTTGTCTCTTGCACAACAGCAAGCTCCTGTTTAGCTACTCATTGCTTTCCTGGATACCGACTCGGCTTTGGCTAAGACTCCTCCTGGCTCCTGATCCCGGCTCTGGCGACGATTCTTCCTGGCTCCTGATCCTGGCTCTGGCGACGATTCTTCCTGGCTCTTGACCCCGGCTTTGGCTACGATTTCCGCTGTTGGACTTGCATAGACTCTTGTCTTATTTTTATATTAATAAACCTACCTTTAATTGCACCTCCTTGTGTGCCTGGCTCCTCGCTTCCTGACACTACACGAATGCCATGAATCCTGACGGTGCAGTTACGCCCCCGCTCCCTATGTTGGTTGCCAGACTTGATCAGCAGGATCTCGTTTGCTCAGTTCGCTCAGGCGTTGCAGACGCTGCTTGCACGCATAGCGCACCTTGCTCCTGGTGCTATTAGGCCGGTTGTCACTCCTGTGGTCGCTCCCGTTGTTGCGCCTACCTCCACATCTGCTGCCGCACCTGCGGTGCCCAGAGGTATGACTGGTTCAGCCTTTCTTCCATAGTGCTTTGGGGGTGAACCGAGTCAGTGTCGGGGTTTCCTTAACCAAGTGGGCATATATTTTGAATTGATACCCCACGCTTTTTCTACTGAGAGGTCAAAGGTGGGCTTCCTAATCTCACTGCTCTCGGACAAGGCCTTGGCCTGGGCAAATCCCTTATGGGAGAACGATAACCCTGTGATTCACGAGTTTGCCAGTTTTGTTGCCTCTTTCCGTACAGTATTTGATGTGCCTGCTCACTCCGCCTCTGCTGCTAAGCTGCTCATGTCCATGCATCAGGGTTCACGAACCGTGGCCGAGTACGCCATAGAATTTCGTACCCTGGCGGCAGAGGTGGGTTGGAACAATGAGGCTCTGGTGGCTGCTTTCTCTCATGGTCTCTCAGATGCGTTGAAGGACGAGATTGCAGCCAAAGAACTGCCTGTGGAGCTCGAAGCACTCATTTCCTTCCTAATCCTGATTGACACCAGGCTCACGGAGAGGCCTTCACTTAAGGAGCGTCTGCGGAGGCCTCCTAACCGATTGGCGCCTACGTTTTCTGTCCCACCCATTCCTCCCTCTCCTCCCATGCCTCCTGGGGATGGCTTGTCTGGTGGTGAGCCCATGCAACTGGGGTTTGCTCGCCTTTCCTAGGGGGAGCGGGCCTCTCGGCGTCGGGAGGGTCGCTGCCTGTACTGTGGTCTCGGTGGGCATTTTCGGCAGTCCTGTCCGGTCCGTCCGGGAAACGTTCGCACCTGAGATCTTGTTGGGGGCAGATCTTGGGAGGAGTTTCCTCGTCCCCAGTTTCCTGCAAAGATAAACCGCTAATCACCGTTGTCCTCTCTTGGGCGGAAGGCTCGGTGACGGCCCAGGCGTTGGTAGACTCTGGTGGTGGCGGGTTGTTTATGGACAGTTCGTTTGCTGCCCAGTACTCCATTCCTCTGCAGGCTCGAGTTACTCCATTGGTCCTTGAGGCGATAGATGGCAGGCCCCTGCAACCGCTGCAGGTTACCCACGAGACCCTGCAGGTGGAAGTAGCTATTGGGGCTGTTCACAGGGAGTTGGCCTGTTTCCAGGTAATTTCTTCTCTGCACTATTCCATGGTTTTGGGATATCCCTGGCTTCAGACGCACAATCCGACCTTTGATTGGCAGTCGGCCGAGATTCTCTCGTGGTCTCCACAGTGTGGGGCCGATTGCATCCGTGGACCTGTAAAGGTGTTGTGTGCTGTGTGCCTCCTCGGACTCTGTGTTGCCCACTGACTATGGGGAGTACCTGGATGTGTTTGACAAGGTGCGCGCCAGTGCTCTGCCTCCTCATCGTCCATACGATTGTGCCATAACCTTACAACCCAGTGCCACTCCTCCATGTGGCAGGGTGTATCCTCTTTCGGTTGCGGAGAATCAGGCCATGGAAGAGTACGTTGCGGATGCGCTTTTCCGGGGGCACATTCGCAAGTCTACTTCACCAGTAGGAGCTGGCTTTTTCTTCGTGAAAAAGAAGGGCGGTGAATTGAGGCCTTGCATTGATTTTAGGAGTCTCAATCGAATCACGCTTAAGAATGCTTACCCAATTCCGTTGATAAACGAGTTGTTCGACCGCCTCAAGGGAGCAACGGTCTTTACTAAACTCAACCTTAGGGCTGCGTACAACCTCGTACGGATCAAGGAGGGTGACGAGTGGAAGACCGCGTTCAACACCAGAACCGGCCACTATGAATCCCTGGTTATGCCCTTTGGGTTTTGTAACGCGCCCGCGGTCTTTCAGGAGTTCATTAATGATGTCTTTCGTGACTTGTTGCAGCAGTGCGTGCTGGTTTACTTGGACGACATCCTGGTTTACTCTGCGTCCATGGAGTCTCATATACAGGATGTTAAGCGAGTGCTGCAACGATTACGTGAGAACGAGCTTTTCTGTAAGCTCGAGAAGTGTGAATTTCACCGATCCCAGGTTGCCTTTTTGGGCTACATCATTTTCCATGGACCCTCAGAAGGTTTCGGCGGTTCTGCAGTGGCCTCGTCCCAGTGGTCTTCGGTCCATTCAGTGCTTTTTGGGATTCGCCAACTATTTATCGGAAGTTTATCAGGAACTTCTCCACGCTGGCCAAGCCTCTCTCAGATCTGACCAAGAAGGGCAGTAATCCCCACGAGTGGTCATCTGAGGCCATTTTAGCTTTCGAAGCTCTGAAATCCGCCTTCGCTTCGGCTCCGATACTGTCTCATCCCAATCCTGGGTTGCCTTTTCTCAACGAGGTTGATGCATCTGAGACCGGAGTAGGCGCCCTCCTGTCTCAGCGTCAGTCGCCCGGTGGACCCCTACTTCCCTGTGGGTTCTACTCCAGGAAGCTTTCCTCTGCAGAATGCAACTACCAGATTGGAGACAGGGAGTTATTGGCCACTATTCAGGCTCTCAAGGAATGGAGGCACCTGCTCGAGGGTTCTGCGGTTCCGGTTCTCATTCTCACTGACCACAAGAACCTGACATATCTCTCGGAAGCTAAGAGGTTGACGCCCCATCAGGCCAGATGGGCTCTGTTGCATTTTAACTATGTGGTCTCCTATTTGCCTGGCTCCAAGAATGTCAGGTCTGATGCCTTGTCGCGGCAATACTCTGAGCTGTCCAGGGAGGACTCTGAGCCAACCTCGGTCATATCTCCGGATCAGATCCTGGCTGCCATTCGTACCAGCCTGACTTCTCCCCTTGGGGAGCAGATTTTGGCGGCCCAAACTGATGCTCCCTCTGAGAGACTGGCTGGTAGATGTTTCGTACCTGAGGGATTGCGCATCCACTTGCTGCGTACCTACCATAATTCCAAGACCGCCGGTCATCCAGGGAGGAACCAGTTGTCCTGGGTCATTTCTCGTTTATTTTGGTGGCCATCTCTCCATTCCAACATCGCCTCATATGTAGCGGCATGTTCTGTCTGTGCCCAGAATAAATCTCCTCTGCATCTTCCATTGGGCCTTCTGCAACCCATTCCCAATGGGGAGCGTCCCTGGTCACACCTGGGCATGGATTTTTATTGTAGATCTCCCTGCGTCTCGAGGCCATACGGTCATTTTTATGGTCATTGATCGTTTCTCCAAGATGTGCCATTGTGTTCCGTTCAAGAAATTGCCGACTGCTCAAGAACTGGCTATGGTTTTCGCCAGGGAGATCTTTCGCTTGCATGGGTTGCCTAAGGTGATTGTCTCGGACCGTGGGAGCCAGTTTGTGTCCAGGTTCTGGCGCGCCTTCTGCTCCCAGTTGGGTATCAAGCTCTCCTTCTCTTCGGCCTACTACCCGCAGTCCAATGGGGCTGCGGAGCGTTCCAACCAGGCCCTGGAACAATTCCTTCGCTGCTATATCTCTGACCATCAAGACAATTGGGTCGATCTCCTGCCATTAGCAGAGTTTGCGAGGAACTCGGCTGTCAACTCCTCCTCCGGGATGTCTCACTTCATGGCCAACTATGGGTTCCAACCCGCTGTATTGCCTGAGTTGTTGTCACCACAGGACATTCCGGCTGTGGATAACCATCTCGCTGTCCTGCGTTCCTCGTGGGGGCAGATCCAGAGGTCCTTGAAGGACTCAGCTCAGCGCCAGAAGCTCCAGGCTGATCGTAGACGGTTGCCCGCTCCTTCATATCAGGTCTGAGATCGGGTGTGGTTGTCCACTCGTAACCTCAATCTTCGGGTGCCCGCACCGAAACTGGCTCCCTGTTTTGTTGGTCCTTTCCTCATCCTCCGCCCCAGTTGCCTATGCCCTTGCTCTTCCTCCTGGGATGCGTATCTCCAATGTCTTCCACGTATCCCTGTTGAAGCCTCTGGTCTGTAATCGCTTTACTGCCTCTCGGCCTCGGCCTTGGCCTCGTCCTATCCAGGTCAACGGTCATGAGGAGTATGAGGTGAGCCGCATCCTGGACTCTCAGTCGGTCCACGGTCGGGTGCAGTTCCTGGTCCATTGGCATGGTTATGGTCCCGAGGAGCGTTCCTGGGTTCCTTCCGCGGATGTTCATGATCCTGCACTCCTCCGCGCTTTTCACGCCCGCTTTCCATAGAAGCCTTATGTTGAGCCGTGGAGGGGGAGGGGCCCTTGAGGAGGAGGTACTGTCAAGGTCCTACCTTTCCTCAGACCTTGTGCTTCTCCATGTGCTGGCATCCATCTTAGGTGTCTGCAAAGCATTGTGGGATCCTTTATGCTTTCAGCCCTCTGCAACTCCTCCCCCAGGAGGTGGCGGCTTATCATATATAAGTCTGCTGTTTGTGGCTGTCCATTGCATTCGTGTCCTGTCTCTTGCACAACAGCAAGATCCTGTTTAGCTACTCATTGCTTTCCTGGATACTGACTCGGCTTTGGCTAAGACTCCTCCTGGCTCCTGATCCCGGCTCTGGCGACAATTCTTCCTGGCTCCTGATCCCGACTCTGATGACGATTCTTCCTGGCTCCTGATTCCGGCTCTGGCGACAATTCTTCCTGGCTCCTGATCCCGGCTCTGGCAACAATTCTTCCTGGCTCTTGACTCCGGCTTTGGCTACGATTTCCGCTGTTGGACTTGCATAGACTCTTATTGTCTTATTTTTATATTAATAAACCTACCTTTAATTGCACCTCCTTGTGTGTCTGGCTCCCCGCTCCCTGACATTTTTATAGCTTTACAATCAGCTTCAGAGCATTCAGAGCAAGAGTGGTGGGATAGACACCCTGGAATCAGCTAATTGGGTTTACAACCATGAAGGATATCCAGCTGTGTCCTGTGCACTCTTGAACCCAGCACACAGGGACCACGTGTCATTCAACTGAGAGGGAGGGGAGAGCTGATTTGGAGTAAGAAATGATACAAGATGGAGGGTCTTTACCAAAACGGATGTTCGCATCCATATTTGTACGTACCATTGCTACAGATGGGTCTGAAGAACCGACAAAAGATGCGCAAAAAAAAAACGAATTTGTCTCCGATTAGGAGCATAGTATGTACAGATTGTGACCTCCACATCTTGTAGAATCCCTACAACTATCAAATAACGGCCTTGGGGGTCCATAACTACATTGTGCTCTTGAAAAGGCAAGGGATTTGCGAATTGCCAAAAGAACCCCCCTCTTCTTAACAGGGGCCAAGGTGAAAAAGACCTGGGCATAACGACCATCCTAAAAAACGGGGATTATAAGAGGAGGTCAGGTGAGTCTCCTGCAGACACACTATATCAATTTTGGAGGAGCGGAGATACTTAAAAACTTTAGTCCGTTTCTGCGGTGTAACATCCACATTTTCAAGACAAGCTTTCAGATCCAAGCAGTACCTCCTATGACTCTCAAAGACTAGTGGTGATGGTATCTCTGTCTAACTTCCACTACAATTACAGGGTTTTACTCTTCCTGTTGCATTTTTAATTTAGTTTAATGAAAATACACCAGAAAGAATAAAACTTGCAGGAAGAGGGATACTACAGTGCAAGAAAAGTAAAGTCAGGGCTCATTCAGATGGGCAGCCAGGGGACAGTAGAAACAAGTGGTTGAAAAAAAAGAAAGGTGCTTAAGACACAGTTTTAGGACCCATTCACATCTGCATATCTTGGAAAAGTGCCCAGGAATGTAAGAAAAATGCGCTACAAAGGCACATCACACTTGTGGTGCTATTAATTCTAAAAAGGCACACCAAATGCAGCTAGCTGAGGCGTATTTTGTTGCGCGCCAAAACATTTGGCAAAAAAACATGCAAGCTCGCTGATTGAAAAAGGTGCAGGAGCTTCTTTGGCACGTTTGTTGTGCATAGAGCAGTGCATTCTAGTAAATGGGCTGCCCTATGCTGTCACCTGGGCTGGTGCTTCCACTAGGCAAATTAGGTGGCTGCCTAGGGTGCATTGCCACCTGGGGCATCTGGGCGCAGCTCTCTCCACATCATGAATGATCCTTCAGCTGAGAGGAGGGGCAGCAGAAGGAGGAAGAAAGGACAGAGGAAGATGCCGGGTGTCTGGGGCCAGTGTAGAAGCTGAGCTGAGCTGCTGCTCCATCCAGGGTTCCTCTGAGACTCAGTCCCTTACTGCAAGCTGGCTAGAAGCTGCTGAACACTGTAGAGTTGCAGCCCTTTTCTTCCATCAGTGGAGGCGGAGCTGCGCCTGAAGAGGAAGGTAATGTCTGACTCTGATGTTTCATGTCTGTGTGAGTGTGATCTGGCTGGCTGGCCATCACATGTGCAATGTGTCAGTGAGTGATGACATCATCATGATCCCACGGTCTGCTTTTCTAGTGCTTGCTGGGCCTGCTGATCTGTGTCAGTGTTGATGGTGGTGTGTCAGATCTGTCACTATGTTGGAGAGCTCAATTCAGCTGTCTGCTGTCACAGCGTGTTATCTCCCCATATTGCCGGGGGAAATCCAGCCTGGGATCTGTCACAGTGTGGACCCGTCATCCTCCACTCACTGCAACTGTCACCCTGCTACTGCCAGGCACAGAGACAGTCCCTCCGTGACACAGAAATGTAGCAGCTCCATGTTTTGTTGATTTCATTTTTTTTTGGGGGGGGGGGGGGGGGGCGCACGTAGCTGGTCTTGCCTAGGGTGCAAAATAGTCTAGTACTGCAAGATGAAACAAAAAAAAGCGCACCAACCTTGCGCATTACCTCAGTAAACTGTGATTTTATTAACTTTAGAATTATACTCACAAACAACGCAGTAAAACAAACATATAGGTCCTCAACAGAACTTTAGGAGTGTAGAAACAGTGCAAATCACATCACAAGGGTAGACTCTCAAAGTAAGACTGACGAGTTTCAAAGGAGGGTCCCTTCTTTATCAGAGCTAACTAAATAATGAGTACCCTCTACCATGTATACCCTGGGACTGAAATTGGACCCTCCCACCTGGGCTGGGCAGTCTCCGGCCGGGAGGAGGGGCATAGGTATCACAAAACTGTAAAATAGCAAAGAGAGGAGATATATATATATATATATATATACATACATACATACATACATATATATATATATATATATATATATATATATATATATATATATACACATATATATATATATATCACACACACACACACGCACACACACAGTGTGCCACATTGGTATTGTTACATGCAGCAAAGACAAGATCGTATTATCAATAAATAAGCAGGCG